TAAGATTTAAATTAATCCAACTTTTTAAAATTATTAAGAATAGTAATTGTTGTAACCTCTTTAACGATTTTGGAGCGATCTACCACTTCCACAAGCTTCAAGTATGGAAACTCGCCCATTAATTTCTGAATATTTTGAATATTAAGGCATTTGATGAGAGTAAGGATGGCATGTAACACATTTTCAGCAATTTTGTATCATTAGCAAGACTATTCGTAAGAAAGACAACAAGAAAAAAAAAGCCAATTTTTGACACGTAAGTTGCGATGAAATTCTAGTATATACAAAGCAAGATACAAGTGTGGTTAGCGAAATTCATAACAAAATATTTCAAAAAAAATATTTTCTTTCATTTAACTTGAAAATTTGAATTAAATCATACTATCATTCATATTCATATTATCACTTAGTTGCTATTTATTTTTGCAAAGATAAATAAATCAATACATTATTTTTTAAATAATATTGTTATTTTTTTAATATTAAATATTTAGTTATGAAAATTAAATGAGATTTATTTTTGAAATAGTACAACTTAAACTGTCTGCTTGGTTTAAAATTCATGGGTCTATATATATTGACTTTAAATCTTAGCTTTTAATCTAATCTTAATTTTAAATTCCGGGACAAAAGTATTCCATTCTTTTCTAGAATTCGATTTTCTAGGATTCTTTAGGGAAATTGAACTTAGTAAAATATAAATAATTTGAAATAATTCTTAAAATTTCCATCGGAAGTATTTTTTCACCCTCCTATTTGTATAAACTTGAATGAATTGTAAAGAAATCATATAAATTATATAATTTTTAGGATCAAAAGAATCATATTTAATTTTAAATAATAATAATTTTAGCATAATTTATTAATTGATAAATTAAACATATATAACATTGAAAAAAAAATTTTCTTTCTTTTTTTAATTTTTTCAAATCGAACATGTTGAAACAAAGAAGTAAAATTCTTCCTCTAAAACAGGGTTTCTTAACCTGTGGTTCATGAACCCCTAAGGGGTCCATGAGTTATATTTTGGAGGTCCGCTGACTACTCCTAATTTTTAAAACGTTTGGAAGCCTACCCATTGCTTGTAAAGCGAGTTATGGCTGCTATAATTCCGTTTGCTACAGTGTATCTTTGCGACGCGGGATTTTCCACTATTGTGATAATAAAAACATAACATCGAAATCGATTGAATGTTGAACAAGATATGCCCGTTTGCTTAGTTGGAAACCATCCCCCAATTCAATTTGTTAAGTAAGGAAAAGCAGCAGCAACCTTCACATTAAACATTTTAATTTTAAAAATTTTGTATACTATTAAAATAATAAAATTAAATGTTTTCTAATAATTGACGTTCTTTGCAATTATTTTTTTCACAGGGGGATGGTCCGTGACTTCTTAAATAATTTTAAAAGGGGTCCATTATATCAAAAAGGTTAAGGAACACTGCTCTAAAAGGATTTTTTTTTTTTAATTATAAAAAGAAAAAAGAAAAAAACTATGCTCAAAAGCTTTAGTGCTGCCATCTAGTAATTTTAGTATAAAATGTAACCTACTATCTACTAATGTTTTAATCAATATTTTTTTTATTATTAAAACTCCTGAATTGATTTTATAATAGATAAATTAGGCAATACCAATAAGTTAAGTATTTATGATTCAGATATGACAGTGCCTTTGTGCTTATATACATATTTTTTTTCCCTGTCAAATATGGAAGGAGTGGTTAGATATGGAGAAAAAACAAATTAGAAACTTCTTCTAATAATACTAGAAAGAGTAGTGTCAACTCGTTCTAAATCACTAGTTTGTTAGCACACTTGCATTTATTTCACAAAACTAATTATAACAGCATAAAAGATGAATTTTTATGACGTATGATGATGATGTCACGTTTTTATAAGATTGTCCCTAAGAACTTTTTAGCAAATTAAATTATTCAATTTAATTTGTTAATTGAATGATTCAATTTAATTTATTAATCAAATTAAATTATTTAATTTAATTTGATATGAAATTATCAATAACAATTAATGAATTATAATTAATTAATAATTACGTTTTACTATCAAATCAAATTATTTGTTAAATTCAACTTTTTGTCTCCTGCCCCATGCTCCAGTCTCAACTCACTTAATTACATCTTATTTCATGCTCTTTGCAAGCATAAATTTATTCTGAAAATTATTAATTTCTAAATTATAATTCAATTTTTAATATTTTATTCTTATAAACACATTTCAACGAATCTATATAACCGGATAAAAAAGACAAATCAAAGGTTCTTTCTTCTAAGTCCGTATATGATGCTGCCATCTAACATTAAAACCATCTACTATCTAACTTGTTTTGCATAATATTGAATATTATCTTATATATATTGAACATAATAGTAAATATATTAGATTAAGTACTTCATTGCTGGTCAAATAATTTTAATTTCATATCAACAGCTTTAATTAATAGCATTATTTCATTCTATTAGTAGGTACTTATGTAGTATTTTATAAATCACAAGGGAAATTTCAAATCTTGACTCAGCTCGAAATGCGTGTTCACGAAAATGAACCAAGCTCAAAATGCGTGTTTACAAAAATGGACTAAGTCCAAAGTTACGCGTTTATGAAAATAGACGAAGTTCAAAATTCGTGTTTACGAAAATAGGTATAGCAATTGATTCCGTCTTTCAGACTTCTTGTGTGAATATTTTTCTTCCTTTCCTTAAATGAATAAGCTAATGAATCTAAATAAATATACAATAGTGTCCATTTACATTTCATTTACACTTGGTACATTTTATTAAATCAGCTTTTTTTTTTTTTTTCAAAACGCTTTAAAAATCGACGATTGTTCTTCCAAAGTTGCCACGGCGGAATTTATGAACATATAACAGTAATTGTAAATTTACGTTGAATGAATTTTGAGTTATGAAACTCACTTTATCGTTTGGAATTCTGAAGTGTCAGTTTGGCGAATTACGAACTCTTGATCACGCCCGGAATTAAATTTCAAGCGAAATGATTTCGAATTCCATTCCGGTGAGTTCAGGAGGAGACGAAGTCTCTGTTCCGTAATGGAACGGTAGGTGGCATCCCGAAATAAGTTGAATGACAGCAGTGAAGATTCTGGAATGAGCAGAACTTCATCCCCTCCCATTGCTTATGCTAATTTTTTTTAATTTCAATTTAGCCCTTTTACTTGTATAGTGCGCAAAAAAGTAGATAAACAAACGAAATTCCCTGAATAAATTTCAATCTAATGATCTGATTTTTATGTACTCAATCTTAATGGTCCAACGGAATGATCTCAGATATGTTTAGTACAGACGATATTTTGAAATACAAAATCAAACACAAAAACGTACTTCCTCTGAGTAAATAATTTTTTTTTTTTTTTTACTGATTATGATTTCTGATTCCCAAAATAAAGAGGGTAGCCGTAATTTGGGAAATATANAAGTTGAATGACAGCTGTGAAGATTCTGGAATGAGCAGAACTTCTTCCCTTACCATTACTTATGCTAATTTTTTCTAATATTAATTTAGCCCTTTTACTTGTATAGTGCGCAAAAAAAAGTTGATAAACAAACGAAATTCCCTGAATAAATTTCAAATTTCAATCTAATGATCTCGGATATGTTTAGTGCAGACGATTTTTTAAAATACAAAATCAAACACCAAAACCTACTTCCTCTGAATAAATATCATTTTGTTTTCTTCCTTTGACTGATTATGATTTCTGATTCCCAAAATAAAGAGGGTAGCCGTAATTTGGGAAATATAACCCCAATAGCTTGGTCAGGAAAACGGTTCTAAGTTAGGAACCCTTAACGCTAATTATACTTTTTGAGTATTTCGCAATATCTCGAGAATTTTTTTACCGGATTGAATTTTTTTTCTGCATACAATTATAAAAGTTGACTACGCACAAATAATTCCGTGAAAAAAAAAACTTTTAGCGAATGTTTATTATTTTTTTATTATTTCCTTTAATAATAGACGGGAAAATTTTGAATTGTAAGGGATAAAAATGTTTTCCACCATTTTAAAGAACGTAATTTTATGCTGCAAAATCCAAACATTTTAACGAAATCGGTCAAATAGTTCCGGAAAAATTTAATTTTCAAAAAGTTGAATATTTAAAATTCAATTTCTCAGAAACTATTCGATCGTTTCTGTTCAAATGTTGCATTTTTTTCATAAATAATTACATTCAGTAAACTGATGTAAAAATGTCTATATCTTACAATTCAAAATTTCTCGACTGTCATTAAATTGAATAATAAAAAGTTAGAAATAAGCATTAGTTTTTTTGGCGTAATAATAAAATAATAAATAGAATAAAAAAATTTCGTAACTGTGTAAAAAATTTTCTGTTCGCTTAAAAATTTCTTTATATATGGCGAAATACGCAAAACGTAAAATTTAAACAAAGGGGCCAAACTTTCAACCGTTCTCTTGACCAAACTATTGCGACGATATTTTCTGAATTTTGGCTATCCTCTATTTTTTGAGGGACAGAAATCAAAATCCGTAGGGAAAAAAATAATTTTTATTATGAGAAAGTGCGCTTATGTGTCTGATTTCGTAACTCAAAATATCATCGGCACTATTTAGCTAGTATTAGTTAGTATTTATATTGTTAGCTTATATATAGCACAATATTAGCATATTTCTCACGAACCATTAAGATTGAGTCTCAATAAATGAAAATCCGTTCATTATATCAGAAGTTATGCGGGATGTTTCGGTTTCGTTTATTTTTCGGGCTCTGTACTTTCGTTAGTTTTCATGAAAAAAGTACTCGTATTTGTAATGAAAATGACAAAATCGTTACGTTTTAATTATATCGTTCCCATGTAAGCTTTTTCTAAACCAATAGGAAACAGTCGTTAAAAGATTGGGACTTTCATACATTTTTCAAAATGAACTAAGTCCTTTTGCAATAAATATTGATTTCAAAATGTAAATAAATAAATGTCAACTCGTTTTCAAACACTTATATTTAGAAAATAAATAATGTTTTTATTAATAATTGGTCATTGAGCCATGCACAATCAATCATTTCGTTGTGAAGCTTGCATTACATGTAATTTTTAATCTAATCCTCTCAAATATTAATCCATAGCTGCAGAGGGAGTTGTAACATTGGAAATCGTGGTTAGAGGTTTCTCTTCTTCGGTGTCTGGAATATCCGCCTGCCGTATAAGTCCGATTTCGTTCGCCATCCATTTCACTTTCGTTGTTATCTGTTCTTGCATCAGATTTATGCACATACTGACGAGCGCCATCCCCAACATCATGTAAAAGCAAGTTCCCATCAGAGTCAGCGTCTTTGCTAAAATAAAATGACAATTACACTCTAAAATAATTTAAACATGAACAATAAGGTACATAAATACACGAAGAAAGAAACAATCCAGTCTACACGGAATTAAAAATTTTGGTAAAATTATCGTTCTGTACGGTAATGACGTTTGTAGTAAAATATACATAATTCTGGTGATAAAAACAAAAATATACTATACTTAAACCTGTCATTTAGTGATTTTTTAGGTCCGTATGATAACGATTAAGAAGAAAATCTGGTTTTCTTAATTATTGCTCTCTAAGGAGAATAATAAAGTTAATACTTTACATTTAGTAAAAAATACAAAACTGAAAAGTACATTTAACCAAATCGAAGTTTTTATGCCGCACTCTAAGGTATTACCAATGTTTACCCCATTTACCAAATTTCATGACATATTATAAAATTACGTACTATCACCAATTTGACCAAAATTAGTACCAAAGAGCTTCGGTAAAAATTACCTTTTTACCACTTTTGGTGTTCTCGTAGAGCCAGAAACACGATTAATTTTATCAAATTTTGGTAGTTTTGACCAAACTCTCTTTTTCTAAGCGTGTAGTTAATTAACATATTTGAAACATTATTGCGATTAGACACAGCCTTTGACTTACACGCGTAAACAAAATAAAAATTTGAAAGTAAAACTTCTCTTACTGTTTTCCTACTATGGCACACAAATAATTTTTTTTTCAAAAACCGAAGAAAGATATTAAAGCGATGATGTTTTGAGTAATAGCAACTATAGTTTTCTGAAGATTAAGTGGAAACATTAAATTATGAAGATTTACCAAAACATTGAAATAGCATAATTAAAGTGACTGGTGTTTGACTTATTATGGCGTTTTCAAAATGGAACAGAGAGCCTGTTTGGGCAATTAGATTTATGCAAGTAATTGCATGAAAAAAAAATCTTATAAAATTACCGTCCTGCATGGTAATGACATTTCTGATATAAAAACCCACTATTCTGGTTAATAAAACAGAATGTACTATGTTAAAACTATTCATTTGGCAATTTTTTCGTTCACATGTTAACATTTAACGGAAAGTCTGGTTTTCAAAAATTATAGATCGTATTACTACACATTTAGTAAATAATACAAAGCTTAAAAAGTACACTTAACAGCATAAATGGTTTTTTGCCATTCTCTAAGGTATCATGATAAAATTACCAAATTTTACCACATATTAATAAACCATCTCATATTGTTAATTTTACTGAAGTCACTACCGAATCACTTCCATAAAAATTACCGAGCTTTTTGGTGTTCTCATAGAGCAAGAAACACGATAAATTTTACCGTATTCTGGTAGTATTGACCATAATTTTTTTTCTCGGTGTACGATCTGCGAAAATAATAATTAAAATAAATCTCGTTTTGTAACGAAGTTGAATTTAGCTTATTGCGATTAGCATAAGCCAGAGTTCAACGATTTACTTTTGAGAAGAATTTAAACAGCGAAAAAAGGAGAACGGCTGATTTTAAATAATGGCAATATTTCACTGGTTCTTACTTAGCTTACCAGAGGTTTACAACAAAAATATATTTTCAAGAAAAGTTGAACGGCAACTATGAAATGATTATATTTTTATTCATGTATTTTATCATGTAGCGAATTAGTGTCTCGAAAATGCATTGAAAACAAATGTATTCAAATTTGTTGATACACATATCTACCCGAAATCTTAAGTTTCTAATACAAATACAATTTAACAAAATCAAATTCTTAGGGATACCACTATCAATTTAAGTTGTAACCGCTGGCTCAAAACTTACTTTGAAAATATTGTTAAGCAAAAACGCATTTTTAAAACGTGTCACATTCAAATCCCAACAAAGTCGAAAGTATTTCAAGTCAAAAAGTTTTCTTACGTACAAATACTTCCTTTGTATCCTTGAAAAGCGCTTCCCGGATAGTAATCCCCAAAGCCAATGGTTGTCAAGGTGATGAAAGTGAAATATCCGGAACTCAGCATATCCCAATCTTCCAGAATCGCAAAAATCCCAGCTCCCAAGAGGATGAAGAGGGATATTAGTAAAAGGTTCAATATAATAGGTATCTGAATCTGTATCAGACAGAAAAAGAAATAGTTACTTTCACGAAAGATAAAAGTTTTGAAGAACAAATGCTTTATTTCAAAACGTGATACAGTGTAATCTTTTTGCATTAAGATCCAATCACAGAAATGGAATTTTTTTTTAAAATTCATTGATTAATATATGGAAAAAGTATACTTGAAATCTTGAGATATAAGAAAATAATTTATCTAAAATAATTTAAAAAAAAAAAGAAAAAAAAATATACATAT